GACTACATTTATTTCAGAAGCATTTTGGCTGTAGAGCAGTGTTATCTCAGTCAAGTGACATTTTAAATTATTCCTTTTTTGAACATGATGTACTTTGTATATGTGTTTCCATTAGCTTCAGTGGACTCTGCTGCACACTATCAAATGGTAGCTCTTGCTGGTAACAGCTACCAGAACAACATTCAGAGGACAGCACAGTAGCTTAATGTTGAAAGAGTTTAGCCATTGTCATTTTAAGGGCTAGGAAGGGGAGAAAGAAGTTCAGCAAAATATGTCAAATCATTCTGACATATTTTGTCAAAGGGGAGAGGGATAGCTCAGTGGTTTGAGTATTGGTCTGCTAAACCCAGGGTTGTGAGTTCAATCCCTGAGGGGGCCACTTAGGGATCTGTGGCAAAAATCAGTACATGGTCCTGCTGGTGAAGGCAGGGGGCTGGACTCAATGACCTTTCAGGGTCCCTTCCAGTTCTATGAGATAGGTATATCTCCTTTTATATATATATATTTTAGTTCTGTACCAGTGAAGAAAGGGATAGACTTTTTTCTATCTTTATAGAGTTCAAACACTGATTTTTAAACTTCAGATTTGCTATGAATTTAGCTCTTAATATTGCAAAGTGCCTTTGGTATTAAAATAAGAAAGTGATAGATATTTGAATTCCTTTACTTTTTCCAGCCCGCAAACAACACAATTTTCTATGGTTTGAAGGTGCAGAGTTCCCTTCTCACAACTGCAGGTGATTTCAGAGGATGTTACATGGAGTGCTCACAAATCGAATATCCTGTGACTGTCTAAAACCAATCCGTGACTGTCTGGAAACCAATCTGTAGTTTATGAACTATTAACTGAATGACTCTTGCCCACTTCGCAGGCTATATCAGAAAACTATATGTCATGTCATGAGGCTGTGTGTAAACCATTTATATTAGGTGTTAATGTTCTAAATTATTAATGGCTAATGTTAATGGCTAGTGTATGCCTAATGTGAGCTCGATTTCTATACTGGTGCCTTTGGGATATGCAAGCGTAAGTTTGTATACAGCTATGACTATATCATTTTAATATTTTTAACTTGAGCAGTGCTTTTTAAATATGAAGCTCCCTGGTTTCTGCCAATTTCTTACATCTAACGTTCAGATTCTGATTTGGAGGAGGAAAAAAGCTGATCAGTTTCAGCATCTCTGGACAAGAGGGAGTAAATAAAATCAGTAATCGAACATTAAAACCTTGTAATAACCCAAAGATGTGAAATATGCTACTCTCCATCATTTTTTCCACAATTTTTTTTAGCAGAAAATGTTTGAACTAAAGGGCACTGATCCATAAAACTGTCCATTTTGTGATAGAATTTCAAAGCAAGTGTGTCCTGTCCGTCTCTCAGAGAGGTAGTAAAAACCAGCTAAACCTTAAAAACCACATTCACACTTACTCTTTTGTTTGAATTATTTGCTCAGAGATTTTATGGAATAGAAATGTATTAACTAAGAAAACATTTTGTTTGGACTCAGAACAGCATCTTTTTTCCCCTCTTTTACATAATGGATACATGAAAGCAGGGAGATCACCAGAATGAGAGATTCTAGCACTTCCCTTCTTTCTCTTAAATATTTCAGAAGACTCATTTCTTGAATGTAACTTTTATAATAAGAATATATGATGAGGTTGTTGGGGGTTGGGCTAGCAAAGCTGTTTCAAAGAATTCAACAAAGAAGGAAAAGTCATTTTCCCCAGTGCTATAAAAACCAAAGGCTTAACATTTGAATAGATCAGAATCTGGCAAAGCTAATATCTGTTAGATCATATAGAGAAAGGTTTTGGGACTATCTTCAAGGGAAAAAGCTTTGTCTCTAAACATCATTAGTCAATCTATGAAATATCAGAACTCTGTTACCATGAATGTGCTGGATGAAACTGTTCTAGTGCTAGACTGCAGCCCCATCTGGTGTTTGAACAGGGGTGCTTCTTATGCAGCTCTCCTATATCATCGCTTGAATAATAAGGCACCTTGCCATACTGTACTTGAGAAAATTGACATATATACAAATGCCCGATTTTATTAATAGCTTCTATTGTATGCCATACTGTGATGAAAGCCAATTGTGTTTTTGGTGAATTACAGAGTAGCAATCCTGTTGATAACATTCCAACCACTAAATCAGCTTGAGAGCTGTATTTACTGGGTAGGTTTCTTTACACAGTTTGCATTTATTTCTGTGATCAAAAATGTATATTGATCATTCAAATGGTCTAAGAAAATAGAAAGAGTTACCTCTTGTTTCTTGTATTTTTACATTAAAAATGATTCTCTGAAGTTACATTGGGATGAATTTGGCCCGGCGGCTTTAAATTGGTGAGACATCAATTCATGGAAGACTCAAATCCTACATATTCTGAAGGCTCACATTTAGTGGGTTCATATTTGGTTTTTGACATGGGGCTAGTTATTTCAGGAACTGATCAAACTCATTCTCAAATAGTTTTCCAGTAAGCTGAGGGAAATTTCTACTTGTATTGCAGATTTGGTAGGAAGAATATAAGTGAAACAAACCAGTGACTAAAAGAAGCATTGCCTTGCATCGTGCATATGATTTAAGATAGTTTTATTGTCTCTGTTCTAAGTTGACTAAAGATAATGCCATGAAGAAACTGAAGCGTGTGACTTTCTGCATAGAATGGACCAATGTCTTTTATCTGAAGGTCAATAGCACTGAATTAGTAGGGATTTAACACTATATTCCTAATCATTGTCACTTTTCAGGGACGTGCTGGCCGCCACTTCCGGCAGCTCCCATTGGCCGGGAATGGCGAACCGTGGCCACTGGGAGATACAGGCGGCCATGCCTGCGGACGGTCAATGTAAACATTGTCTTGCAGCGCACCAGTTCTATATCTAGGGCCCTACCAAATTCATGCTTTATTTTGGTCAATTTCACGGTCACAGAATTTTTAAAATAGTAAATTTCATGATTTCAGCTATTTAAATCTGAAATTTCATTGTGTTGTAATTATAGGTGTCCCGACCCAAAAAGGAGTTGTGGGAGGGGGTCGCAAGGTTATCGTAGGGGGGATTGTGGTACTGCTACCTTTACTTCTACACTGCTGCTGGCAGGGGCACTGCCTTTAGAGCTGGGCAGCTGCAGAGCGGTGGCTGCTGGGCAGGAGCCCAGCTCTGAAGGCAGAGCCGCCACCAGCAGCAGCACAGAAGTAAGGATGGCATGGTATGGTATTGCCACCTTTACTTCTGCGCTACTGCTGTCAGGGTGTGGCCTTCAGAACTGGGCACCTGGCCAACAGCCACCACTTTCTGGCCACCCAGCTCTGAAGGCAGTGCAGAAGTAAGGGTGGCAATAACGCAATCCCCCTAAAATAACCTTGTGACTGCCCTGCAACTCCTTTTTGGGTCAGGACCCCCAATATGAGAAACGCTGGTCTCCTCTTGAAATCTGTATAGTATAGGGTAAAAGCACACAAAAGACCAGATTTCACAGTCTGTGATGCATTTTTCATGGCTGTGAATTTGGTAGGGCCCTATCTATATGTAATTGTTTTGCATTTCAGTTATTTGGTTTTGTTGAAGTCAATAAAGAGCTATAAGTTGTCAGATAGAGACTACTTGATTCTTTTAAATCATTGCTAAGAGTGTTTACTCCTGGAGGAATTCTGTGCTACACAAATAAAAATTCTGCGCACAATATTTTAAAATTCTGTATATTTTATTTGTGAAAATAATACAATCTAATCACGCCAGTTTCAATTATTTGGGTAATTTATTTCAAAATACCTCTCAGAAAAAATGTCTGTAACAGTACTGACAACAAAAAAGATTCCCCCAGGAGCAGAACGTTAAAGGAACCTGTATGACAACCCAGTTCCTGTTTCTCTGTTATGTTTTTGTTGGGCACCTAAGTCTGGGTGTGTCACATGCCAGCTGGGCACATCTTGGGGGAAAACTCTGTCACTCCGGTCTTTTGTTGATTCTTGGGGTTTTGTCTTGCCCCCATAGGATTACCATATAGAGGCTCCCAAATAGAGGACAATGCCAGGGGGATGGGGAGTTGGAAGGGGGTCCAGTTGGGGAGTGCTGGAGGGGGTCTGTGTGTACTGGGAGAGAGTATTTGGGGGGTACTGGAGGGGGCTGCGTGGGGCACCCCCTAGCCCAGACACCTGTACCCTCTCTTCCCCAAAGCCCAGCCACGGGGCCAGACACCTCCACACAAATCCCAGAGCACAGCCACGGGGCACCCCCCATCCCAGACACCTGCATTCTCTCCTCCCAGAGCCTGGGGATCCATAGGGAGAAACAGCCTGATGCTGGTTAGACCGGGCTTGTATGGAGTTTCCTGTGGTGATTTCAGTGTTGGGTGGTGCAGGGCTGACACTGCACAGGACCTCCATCTCTGCCGGGCTGGGCGGTCTGCTCACTGTTAGGCCACGGCCCACATGCCACCTCCTTCAGGGTATGCCGGAAACCACAGTTGCCGGGAACCCTCCAGTTCCTCCTCTCCTCCCTCCAACAGTGTCCTCTATTTACGAGCTGGGGAGCCGGGCTCTGCCAGGACCAGTAGCCCCTAGTGGCAGCCAGCAGCTGTGCAGCACCAATTCTGCGGGAAGAAATGAAATTCTGCGCAGAACATTAATTGTCCATAAATTCTGCATTGCACAGCGGCACATTATTCCCCCAGGAGTAAGTGTTGTAAAAAGAGAAACAGTCAGAATATGAGTATAAACACAATCATTCACTTGTCACTGAATGTTGTTGTTTTTCCCCATCCTTATCTTTTGTTTTCTTTCATTTTTTAGAAAGATCACTATTTGAAACCATAGCCAGAATAAATGAGCAGAGTGAAAACGAATGGATGAAGTTCTTACCATGCACTGAACAGTGGAACATCAGGTGCAAAGCTCTGGGAAAATGTCTGCTTGCAACACCTTCACTGAACACGTCTGGAAACCTGGTGAATGTAAAAACTGCTTCAAACCCAAAAGCTTGCACCAACTGCCCCCAGCCTCTGAAAAGACTTCCCTCTCGCATGGTAATCTGAAAACCAATGCCAACCACAGCAACAACCACCGTGGTAGAAGTACAGGAAATTTCCGACCCCCTGTAGCAAAGAAACCCACTATAGCTGTGAAACCCACCATGATGGTGGTAGATGGGCAGAGTGTCAGTGGTGAGATCAGCACACCCGATCATTGTGAGAACAAGCCAGTAATTATAGGGTGGAACCGAAACAAAACTGTCTTAAACAAAAAGCCACTGAACAATAATAATGAAGATGAAATTGAAGGTTATAGCCATGTTCATAGGCCTTATGGCAACAATGATAGTGCAGGTAAGATACCAAATAACAATAATAATGGACTGACAGAAGTGTTGAAGGAAATTGCAGGTTTGGATACCACACCTCAGCTAACAGGAAATGAAATGAACTCAAGGGACACGTTTTTGGGAAGAATAAATAATTGCTATAAAAGATCATTAGAAAGACAGATCCCTCCAAGCTGCATGATGGGTGGAATGAAGGATTCACATAGTAAGCATGTTATTCTGAGTGGAAGCACTGAAGTAATAAGTAATGAAGGTGGGCGTTTCTGTTACCCAGAATTCTCCAGTGGAGATGAGAGTGAGGATGATATGTTTTTTGGCAGCATGCAGGAAGAGCATGAGAGTTGGGATGAAAGTGATGAAGAGCTGCTAGCAATGGAAATTCGCATGCGGGGCCAACCTCGCTTTGCTAACTTTAGAGCTAACACCCTGTCTCCTGTCCGGTTTTGTGTTGACAAAAAATGGAACACTGTGCCTTTAAGGAACAAGTCTCTACAGAGGATCTGTGCTGTAGACTATGATGATAGCTATGATGAAATTTTAAATGGTTATGGAGAAGAAACTGTGATGCTTTATGGGCAAGAAAGCATGCAGAGTATGGTATCATCTGATTCCACATCTCCTGATTCTTCTTTGACTGAAGAGTCTCGCTCTGGAACAATCAGTAGCTCATCTCAAAAACTCTGCAATGGAGGGTTATCTCCCAGTACCCCTAAGGAGATCAAGTTGATTGAACCAGATTATGAGAGTCTTTATGATAAGCAGCAAGTGAAAGACATGCCAAAAACTTCCAGAAACACTGCAAACATTCTAGAGACTCACAAGGCAGTTCTTGCACTTAGATTGGAAGAGAAGGATGGCAAGATTGCGGTACAAAGTGATAATCAAGAAAGCAAAAGTGCTACAGATGTTACTGGTCAAGCAGTGACTATAAACTTGGTACCAATGGAAGATCAAGCCAAACCTTACAGAGTGGTAAATATGGAACAACCAGTGTGCAAGCCTTATACTATAGTAGATGTGTCAGCGGCCATGACCAATGAGTGTATGGATGGTCAGACTGAAAGCTCAGAAACCAAAAGTACGCCATCTAACCCAAATTCACCAGGAACTCCAGGTGCACCGATTATATCTAATACTGCATCATCTGGGCGAGTAAATGCCAATCTACAAAAATCCAGTGCAGTTAGATACCAAGAAGTATGGACCTCTAGTACTAGCCCACGACAGAAGATACCTAAGGTGGAATTAATTGCTAATAGCTCAGGACCTTCAGTCCCTCCAAGGAAAAGCAGCCACAAATCTGCTCCTACTTCACCTACAGCCACAAATATTTCTTCAAAAACCATCCCAGTGAAGTCACCCAATTTGTCTGAGATAAAATTTAATAGTTACAACAATGCTGGCATGCCACCTTTCCCAATTATCATTCATGATGAACCTACATATGCTAGGAGTTCAAAGAATGCTATCAAAGTTCCTATTGTAATCAATCCAAATGCGTATGATAATTTAGCCATCTATAAAAGTTTTCTAGGCACCAGTGGAGAGCTATCCATCAAAGATAAAACTACAAGTGTAATAAGCCACACATATGAAGAAATAGAAACAGAAAGCAAAATCTCTGAAAATATACCCAGCAAACCCACTGAATTTACCCAACCCAAGGGGGTAACTAATAGCACAGAGTGTAAACTGGGTTCTGTGGCTCAGAAAGTTCAAGAGTACAATAGCTGTCTCAGCAAAGGTCAGACGTCACCACAAAGAAGTCATAGTTTTGACCATAGCTCCCCAACAAGAGTTCAGAAGACAAGTCAAGAGCCTGCAGCCAAAATGGAAGGAGCACAGGAGACTTCTGGTGGCAGCAGCAATAGGGAAAATGCAAACACAGTGCTTTCTCAGATTGTGGCTTCTATCCAGCCCCCACAGTCTCCTCCAGAAACACCTCACTCAGGACCCAAATCTTGCAGTGTGGAAGAATTATATTCCCTACCACCTGATGCAGATACCACTAAAAGCAGCCTGGTACGACCCAAATCTCTCTTTACTGCACAACCTATCAATGATACTGAAGTATCCAGTGCTACAGAAAGCACTACCACTAAAATGCAGAAGGATACACTTCCAAAGCCACTTACCACCCATTCGTCGAAGCCAGTAACAGGCACCCATAATACCACAAGTCCCAAAATAGAGCAAGCACCTCCATTTCCCCCTCCACGTTCCACTTCTTCACCCTATCATGCAAGTAATCTGTTGCAAAGACATTTCAGCAACTGGAGCAAACCAACCAGTCCCATTAGATCAACAGAGGCAGAGTCAATACTGCATTCAGAAGGTAGACGAGCTGCTGATGCAAAACCCAAGCGCTGGATATCATTTAAGAGCTTCTTCCGCCGCAGAAAGACTGATGATGAGGAAGACAAAGAGAAGGAAAGAGAAAAAGGGAAACTAGTGGGTCTTGATGGAACTGTTATACATATGCTGCCCCCTCCTCCAGTTCAACGCCACCATTGGTTCAGTGAATCAAAAACAGACTCCAGTGAGAAGCCATCCATTGTTTTCATGTATAGATGTGAACCAGCACAGGCTGAACCAAACACCGCCCAGAACAAGGCTGGAGTGGAGTTTCCAAATGCAGATACAGTGGCAAAGGACAAAGCAGAAATGGAAGAGATGTTGGCAGAGGATTCTGAACAGAAAATTAAGAGTCATTCTTCACCATCTCAGATTCCCAAGAAGATCCTCAGGTAAACTGCTGCTAACAGCATATGTCTTTTTAACTCAGTCATTCAGTGTTGTAGAATATACTGTACATTTTGCAGAAATGGGAAGTAATTTAAGGGCTTTATATTGAACTTTATATGTGCATGTGTAATGTTTTTACAGTCTTAACATTTTACTGGATAGTCGTTTTCATTAGCACCTTTCTTCATATGAACAGCATCCAGTATTTTGAACTGTCTTCGATAGATTGATCTTGTTCTACTGAATCAAACACACATGGCCCTGAATTTTTAGATTAACATGGTATTTCTATGCTATAGAAGACTAAAGAACTCTGGTGTAGAAGTGGATGGTAAACATTTAATGGAGAAGTAGAAAGTGTACTGACTATCTATCTGTCTGTCATGTGCCCCTCCAGAGGAAAGAAACACGTCTCCAGCTGTAGCACCCCATATTGATAGTCCATGTCATTGCACAAGTTTTATTAGCTTGTATTTTATTATGCTGATGGGAGGGAGCTGTCCCGTCAGCATAGTAAATCCACCTCTGCAAGAGACAGTAGCTATGTCAGTGGGAAAAGTCCTCCTGCCGACATAGCGCTGTCCACACCAGTGCTTAGGTCGCTGTAACTTACAGTGCTCAAGGTAAGTGGTACTGTAGACCAAGCCTTAGTGAAAGCAGGCTACCAGTATACTAACTCAAAAGATATTTTAAAACTTTTGTACCTATTTATTCTTTTAGTTGTACCCTGCCAGATAGAAAATTATAAAATCATAGACTTGTTCCTTTCAATGCAATGTCTGACCCTCACCAAAAACAAGGTCAGGTCCTAAAGTTCCCTCACCCTATTTGTTCTCCGTATTCTTGTCTATACAAGAAAAATGCACTGATTTTACTTTAAATGGTTTTTAAACTGATTTAAAATTATGGAAATCTATGTGTGGACACTCTTATTTCAGTTTATCTTAAACTGTTTGCTAATCAATTTAACCTAAAGTGAAATCAGCCTGTTTTAAACTGCCCATAGGAGTGTCAAACTCACCCTTTTGCATGAGTTTAAAATCACACCTTTATTAAAACTGGTGCAATGAGGATTTATTTATTGTCTGTTTTTCTGATATTTTTTCATAGTTGGAAAGCTCAAGTTTTTGTTACAATGTTTCTGATTAAAGTTAGGGGTATAAAGTGGGTGTTATGATACTAGGAAGTATCACCACACTTGTATGCAGTATAGCACCCGGCTGAAAACAAAGCGTCTTCAACTACCCTAGGGATGGTGCTGTTGCTTTGTTTTACCACACCTGCCTAGAGTATGTTTGTACTGTTACTGTTTGCAATAGTTAGTCTTTCTCTTTCCTGTTTTCCACCCCCTTTTAGAGAATTTTTCTTTATTTTTTCCCCACCAAGCTGTGGTGATAGTGTGAAATCATAGCTCAGAATTCTCCAAGGGTAATTATATTTTATTTGCTATTAATTCTATTTTATAAAAAGTACTAACTCCATTGTGATCTTTCTGAGAATATTTAAAAAAAGAAAAGAATGAAACATGGGGAGTTTTATGGGCAGAATAAGATTTGGTAGCTTTTTGTGGCATTTGGCTTTCTGTAATTTATTTTTATTGCCTTTGATGCATTTTGGTGTCTTAAGGTAATTGTTTTTACTTGATTTTGATTGTGTTAAGGAGGGGGAAAGGAAAGAGAGAGAGAGAGAGTCCTTTTCAATACCAAAAATTAAGCCAATACGGTTCAAGGATTTTGATTTGTCTATTTTTACAGTATTTGTGAACCAGGCCTGGCTGCTTGCAGTTTTGCACCAATAGGAAGTATATTTGATTTACCAAGTGATGCTACACTTGCTTTGTATTAACTCATCAGATGTTAGCTAAAGGTTAATGCTAATTCAGGCTAAAATGTGTGGAATGGAAAAGAAGTTCAAAATTTTCAGTTAACGACTGCAGCAGGCTTAGAGAAAAATTGAAGACATGAAGATAAAGATCAATGAACATGACACTTTTCTAACTGAGAATGCCAACAACTGTAAAGCTCACTGAGAGATCAAATTGATGACCTGAAAAATAAGATAGGATTAAGAAATGTCAGATTGGTGGGGGGTCCTGAAGGCATATCAACAGGAGAAACTGAACTTTTTTTTTTATCCCATAGTGGATTATGAAGGTGGTAGAGACTGATAACTTTAAATTCCTTTAGCACTGTGTTGTGGTTATGATATTGCTGGAAAGGTCAGCTCATCACCCAGAACAGCACTTGCAGAATATTCATCTCTTGAAATGAGGAATAAACGTTTGAAACTGAATGCATTTGAGTCTGTAATGGGGCCCTCAAGTGTTTTATCCATGTGATGGTCTTGTTTTTCTTTGGCATGCATAGTAGTTAGAAAGATGCTGGCAAATATGAAATTGGCATCTCAGTAGAGGGTTTTTCTGAAAACCAAAATTAAATTTTCCCCCCCTAAGGATAGAAAAGTCTTTCCAGTAAAGGTTTCAAATTGAGACAGGATATAACCTTTCCTACTGTGGTTTTTTTATACATATATTTTATTTTTCTTTAAAAAAAAATCATACTAACTAAGTTTTACCAAATATTTGTAAATAAAATTTATTGTGTTTGGTGGTACAGCAGTTAATCCTGCTCACCCGTGGAAATTTGAGTGATTCTCTTGCAGGAAATTGCATTTAAGGCTTTGTGTTATGTCTGTGCAGAATGGAAGATGACTAGAGATAGTTTCAAGGGGAGAGAGAAAATATGGAATCTAGAGCAAAGATCATCTTTATTCCAGAGGATTGTGGGATACCTTCTCCACCATTCCTCACACTCACTCCTTCCTCAAAAGCCCTCTATCACAGCAACCCTCTCTGAGGATATGTACATTGCAGCTGGGAGCTAGCATCCCAGCCCAGGTAAACAGACTCAGGCTAGTGGGGCTCGAGCTAGCACTAAAAATAGCTGTGTGGACATTGAGACTATAGGCTTGAGCTCAAGTAGCTAGTCTGAGTTTCTGATGCAGCTGCAAGGCCCACACAGCTATTTTGAGCGTGTTAGCTTAAGCCCTGCTAGTGCGAGTCTCTGTGCCCGGGCTGGGAGGCTCACTCCCAGATGCAGCATAGATATACCCTCTGCTTCGGAGAAGGGCTAGCTTCTCTGTAGAGCAGTCAATACTGCTTCTTGGATTGGCCTCAAGGAGGAACACTAGAGATCAATGTGAGTAGTTCTCAGCCCTTGCTGTCTGGATTATGTTGTGAACCCCTGTGCTGCCTCTTGGTATGATTTACAAAGCTTTTTGTTTTTACTGATGTAGAGTATTTTAGTAGAAGGATTAAGTCTCGTTGTCCTCAGTTTAGGTTAGGCTATATGGCTGAATGTCACAGCTGATGTGAATTTTACAGCGGGGAGAGGTGCCACAAGTACTCCTGTTCTTTTTGCGGATACAGACTAACACGGCTGCTACTCTGAAATTTTTCTTTTGTTATTTATCACAGCTCATTCAATGAACTTCTTCCTAGAGGAGTTGATTACAACAAGATCAGTCTTGGTAAAGATATTTTCCAGAGTACTAAGGTCCAAAACCTTTAGCCTTGTGTGGTTTTGAGGGAAGAATATAGAGATGTCAGTCACTGGCTTAGAAATGAGGCCCTACTGGTACGCACATCAGTTATATCCAACGTATGGGAAAGGTCCAAATAATTATCAATTATCACTAGACACTGATACTTTTTCTGATCCATTCTCCACAACTACACAAGGTAGCCCCATCACTGGATGTCAACCTGTTGCTAAATGTCCCCATAAGATATTCTTCTGAACTTATAAAGGAGTTATTCCCTCTCTAACAATTGGTTTTTTTAATAGCAATTATGTCAGCCTGATGGGCATTGGAATGAAGAGTTCTGTCCACAGAACCCCAGTACTCTATTTTCATGTTGAGATAGTGGTTCTCAGGACAAAGCAATCTTTCATCCCTAAAGTCTCAAAGTAGACAGTACTGCAAGCTTTCTGTCCCAAGCCACTGTGTCCAACGGGAAAGCTGTGGAACAGCTTTGATGTCTGCACAATAATAAAAATATATCTACACAAAACTGAAGTATTCAGAAGATAGAGTTCATAATTTTGTCTTGTCGCCTAGCTGTAAGGAACAAAAAGACTTCAAAGCCTCTGATATCTAGGTGGATCAGATTATGAATATCTGAGGCATACAAGATAAAGAACTCATCATCTTCTGCACTCATGCAGCATTGTCTCTTGGATTGAGACATATTTCTTAAGAAGAAACCTACAAGGCTCCCCAACTTCCATACTGGAAGTTATGTCATCTCTTCATCGGTAAGGTCATAAGCTGTGCCAGTGATTGACAGGTCTGAGTTCCATCAAGATGCAAACAGGCCTCAAGCCCATTATAGGATCTATGGATCTTACTGCTTGAAGAAATGAAATATTTATATATGTCCATATAAATGTTTGTAATGCTTTCTGAATTTAACAGTAATGTCTGACACTCCACTGTAAAGTTATACAATACATCAGGAATCCAGTTATAAATTCTGGAGATTTTAATATTAGGTTCCATAACTGTGAGAGATTACAGATGTCAAGACTTTTAGAAATGCCTTGCTATCCTTAGGATTTTATAATGATATCATGTTCACACATTGCACAGAGAGTTTGCCTTTGAGAACTGCCCACATGGATTCCTGTTCTTGGGATTAACTCGCCCTTGGAATGTGAGCTTGAAATCTTTTGGAAAACTGTCTACTGGGATAAGTGTCTTTACAAACTCTCCTACCCCTTATGCAGGGTTCCAACAGTGTAAATAGGCCCCAGCCACCCTTCAATTCTTTCCTGAAGTGTAGAAGATGCAACAAACTCTGAAAACACTCAGTGTCCTCAGTGCTCCCCTTGTCTTTTTGGTCCATTCTCTTCGGTCTGTGGATACTATTTTTATGTATATAATTAGTCAGTATTTTGTGTTTAAAAAAAATAAAACAGTTTTTCAGCGCCCATGCCAGCTC